GTGTCTAGGGAATGAGAAGCAGATTGGATTGACTGGAATGTGAAGTCTAAGGTGTGGAGAAGCTGGGAGCTGAATGGAGCATAAGAAAAAAGGTCTTACATGCCCTGCTTCAGGCCTGAGCTTTGTTCTACAGGAGAGCTAGTGAAAGATTTTAAATAAGGGAAAGTTGTAAACAGGCTTACATTTTATGAAATATCACTCCACTGGCCATGTGGAGGTGGATTAGAGAGAGTAGATGAGAGGATAGAAACCCATTTGAAAGGTATTACAACCATTGCAGCAAGAGCTGAGATCCTGAATTAAGGTGATGGCAGAGGTAGCAGAAAAGAAAAAATGAATTTAAAAGATAGAAATAACAAGGCTCAGTCAGTGATCATGGTTATAATGACTAAAGGAGAAGGCAGACTCTGGGAGGCTAGAAGGATGTAGTTCCCTCAATTAAGTTTAGGGAATTCTTGAAAAGGAGAAGGTCATGGAAGTGGGGGAAAGTGATGAGATCAATTACAACATGTTGAGATGAAGAGCCTGGGAGATAAAGAGGACATCTCCAGGGAGCAGTTAGATACATGTCCCTAGAAATTAGCAGAGAGGCCTAGCCTTTAGCTATAGATTTAGGGGTCAACAGCATAGAGCAGGTATTTAAAAGAACAGGAGCACATTTGACTATCAAGAAGGAAGGCTTAAATTGAAAAAGGGTGGTCAGAAACAGAATCCTCAGAAACATCAACTTCTAAGAAGAGAACACAAGAAGGCAAATCAGCAACTGACACTGAGTATATATGGTCAGAGAGTAAGACCTCAGCCAGATGAAAAGGGGCCTCCAAAGTCATACGGAAGAGGGAGGGGTGATTGAGAGGTAGGGAGGGGGTGGTTGAGAGGTTGAGAGTGGCAAAAACCATGATAAGATCAAGTAAGCTAAGGACATAGATACATTGTGAATTGGTTATTAGGAGGTCATTGTTGATCAGAGACAGGGCAATTCCAATGATACAGTGTTAGGGTGTGAGACAGGTACAAATCAGATTATAGTGGTTTGATTGGTAGACAGGAGGTGAGAGAGTATCTAGACACATGTATAGGCTCTTCTTTCAATGTGGTTGACTGTGAATTTGAAAATGCCTCTCCTGCACACAGGTGAGACTATGCCCAGGCTGACTAGAGACTGGAGTAGAAGGAGGGGTCTCTTACCCAAAGCTGTGGCAGATGTTGAAAGCAAGTGAATATTCAGAGCTGACTGTGAAATGGAAACTGACTCCAGAATGCCAGGAAGTGGGGTTTGAAAGGACCTCCAATGATGAGGGGCTGGAGCCAATGTCTGAAGCTGGATTAGGCACTGAGGATAAGATAGCTAGCTAGAATGTTTGTAGGCAGCTACTCAAGAAGAATGGAAAGGGCAGGGGATGGTGTGTGCTGCATGGCCTGCAGGTCAAGGGACTGATCAGGGACCCTGGCTCTGTGAGAGAGGGAGGAAAACTAATAATTTGAGAAAATGGGAAGGGGTTAAGGCCTAGCTTCAGAGTTTCAGGACAGGCTAAGCAGAAGTAGGGCAGTTTGAGGGCTAAAAGACTAGCAGCTGATGGTTTTATACATGTAAAGATTTCTGAGAAAAAGGGGTCCCAGGTGATAAAGTCTGGGACATAGTCATGGCAGTTGACCACAGGACGGGGTAGAAAGATGCAGGTGCTAAGAACTGAGGAGGTTAAAGTTCTGAGAAGCTGCAGTGCTAATCGAGTCCTCCCCACGAGCACTGAAGTCACCCAGATGATGGCAGAAGTTGGATTTGAGAGAAAGAACATTCTCAGTCCTCAATGAACATGGAGGAGTGGCCAGGAAATGACAATCATTAGTAAGAAGAGAACAGAAAAGCTAGATAGGATGAACTTGAATGCAGGAGAGAATTTTGTGTAAGAGGTATGGGTGCAATCATGGCAGTGGGCATTAGGAAGAATATCTCTAACTCCTCCTAAACCTGCCATACATTTGGGAGCTGCAAAGGAGTAATATCATTGAGGCAGAGACAGTATCCATTTCAGTGAGAACAGGTGAGAAGAAAAGATCATCTTTACCATGTACATGTAAAAACTATATGCTCCCAGAGACTAAGGATAATCTTTTATTTTCAGTCAGGACTATTGAATTAAGGGTTTCCAGGGAATCACAAAAGACAGTTGTACTGAGTGGGTAGTATTTAATATGATCCAGTCTTAAATAAGAAGCCATAAACATCAACATTTAAAATCAAATATATAATAAATAATTATTAAGTTATAGACTACATAGTTCATATTAGCTAAATTCTCAGATGCATATGTAAATACAACAGAGCAATAATATAGAATAATAATGCTACAATTGTATACAAGCGTCCCAAGAAGACACTTTGAACTAAAATAATAAAGATCATGATTAATTTTCCATGAACTGTCATGACCTACAGTAATATTTCCTTCTCTCCCTCCCTTCCTTCCTTCCTTCCTTCCTTCCTTCCTTCCTTCCTTCCTTCCTTCCTTCCTTCCCTCCTTCCTTTTTTTTTTCTTGGAGCATGTCCCTTGTTCCTGAAGTGAGCTTTGCTACAAATGTTATTGAAATAATATTGAGCAACTGAACATCAGACATGGTAGAAAGTTTTACTTAGAAGTATGATCAGATATTCCTGTAAGAATACCCAGAACTTTCGAGACGCATAGACATTTAAAGCTCTGAAAAAGGAAGAAAAGACATTAGAGATTCAGTCCAGGATTCTCATTCTACAGATAACGAAATGGAAACCTAAACAGCTTAAACAAGTGACCATAATTTCATAGTCAACAAAATTTCAGGTCTCCTGTATTACCGTCCATAGGTGAACAGTTATATTTATGGGCTATCTTTATATTCCTTTCAAGAATTGGCTAAGTCTTGAACCCAGAGCAGTGAAGATGGAGCTGTTGAAATCTCACTGCTTCATCTTGTTTATTTCAATGCATTGCTTTTCTGGGGTGTTGGGGGGCTCTTTATCTGGGTGTTTAAACTTTGTTTAATGAAGGCTCTTAGCCAAACCCTCATTAAATTATTTTTACTTTTAAGATAGAAACCCTGATCAAGGGCCGGGCGCGGTGGCTCACGCCTGTAATCCCAGCACTTTGGGAGGCCGAGGCGGGTGGATCACGAGGTCAAGAGATCAAGACCATCCTGGTCAACATGGTGAAACCCCGTCTCTACTAAAAATACAAAAAATCAGCTGGGCATGGTGGCGCGTGCCTGTAATCCCAGCTACTCAGGAGGCTGAGGCAGAATAATTGCCTGAACCCAGGAGGCGGAGGTTGCGGTCAGCCGAGATCGCGCCATTGCACTCCAGCCTGGGTAACAAGAGTGAAACTCCGTCTCAAAAGGAAAAAAAAAAAAAAAAGAAACCCTGATCAAAATAATTGGAACAGAAATTTTTAACAATAAACATGCCAAAAGAAATATACATTTTAAATATTAAACTACAGTGTCAAAGAAGTTAATAGCTGTAAATTCAGAAACAAGAAATATAGATTCCATCTTTCTCACTATCTTTGTACCTGCTTCTAACTTTTATCCCAACAACCCAGGCTGTCATAGTTGAAACTTAGGCACATTTTATTTATATATTATCATCGGGCAGATAATTCCTTTATAATACATATTCTAAAATGTTAAAACAGAGTACCTTGTTTCTGATGACAAAACATTACTTTTTTTTTCTTTTCCCTGAGTCTACTTGCTGATGATAAAACATTTCATTGAAATTTGATTAAATAATTCTCAATATATCTTTTAGAACTGTAAGTTAATTCTGTGTTTGTTTTAAGCAGATAATTTTTCTTCTCAGAGCATAAAGCATTTCTCATCCCACATCCTCTTGCACATTCACAACTATTTTAACAATAAGAGGTTCTCAAATAGCTTATACCATTCTAGCAAAAATTTTATTTTTCTAGAGTTTTTAACTTCATGTTTAAACAAACTGTGCTGGAGCTGATATGAAATGGCAGCTAGAGTAGGTTGCCTGTTTTTACTACCCAAGTTTGAAAGATTGGATTGTTTATGCGAAAGTTTGTTTTCAGCTTGGACAGGAGTCCTGGCCTCTTGATTTGTCTCCTGATTTTAAAATTACATAGATGATTGAATTTTTCTTATCAAAAGGATTGTAACTAAAAGTGTCCAAAATGCTAAACATGTTTTGAAATTCTGTCAAAGCAGAAGTTTCATTTTAAAAAGAAGGAAGAAAAGAAATGAAGAAGAAAGGAGACAGACATTTGAAGTTATTAGCTAGCTAATACTATGATCATTTTAACAGTTTGAGGAAAGAGCTACAATACTTTTAAAACTCTGTTTAGTTCCAGAAGACAACCTGACATATGTCCCTCTATAGCTTTAAATTACCATTTCCACAAGCTTAAAATGTTAGCTTATAAGGGACTGGGGGCTGGAGGAAGGTAATATTAAATCAACTTCTTAATACTCTATTGCCACTGACTAAGAGTCTATTCCATAAATATATTCATATTTATAGTATTTAATTATTTTTATATACCCCAATAAAGAAGTAAGGCTTCTGTGGCCATCTGGTATCCCCGGTACATAAATAAATTATATATTTATATGTTAGACATTTTGAGATTAAAAAAAAAACTATTCAGATATAAGTTTTTAAACACTCAGTTTTCATTTCCTTAAAAGAATAAAGATGTTAACTTTTCATTTTGCTTTTACATATTTTGCTTCTATGTTTCTATATTTTCAACTTGAATGAAGGTATATATGTTTTAAGTTATGATCATAATAGACCATATTCTGGTGGTAATCAAACTCAAGGTTAATATAAAATCAATACATGTCAAAACCGTATTTTTGGTTAAAAATTTTAGCCTTCTCCTTCAACCAAGAAATGTCAAAGTTGGGCAGTGAGATAAAGTAAAAACTTCAGAAGTCATAGAAATCAATGACATAGAAAATCAGACTATTGCATAGTCATTATGGGGAAATAATCCTGACTTAGCACACTTAAGAGTGTTTTTTCCCATCGCTAATATATTGTACTCCTTCACTTGGAATACCAAGAAATAAGTTTAACTACTATATTAGAGTATGTAACATAGTGTCCAGCTGCAAGTCAGATCCTCAGGAATCTTCACTTCCATGTGTTCTAGAGGAGAGATGTTGATGAATCATCTGTGGAAATAGTATACCATGAGTAACTACGAAGCAAATCTGGACAGGTAAAGATAAATTAGAAAATCAAATGAAATTTAAGGTAGATACCTTTTGGAGAAGTGATTTGAATCTTTCTAGGAATTCTTTGGGTGGTTTTTTCTCATAAGAATCACACGAAGGGCATGTCTAGAAATCGATGAAAAAGTAACAGTCTTCTTTAAATTTTTTTTCTTAGTAAAATGTTTCTTTAAAACTTTTATCGTTAAAAACATACATTATGTTCACTGAAAAACATTTGAGAAATACATAAAACTGCTTGGGAAGTAACAATGGAAAAAGTTCTTGTAATCCCATTCACAGAGATAGGAATCCCACTGCTATGTTTTGCTGTATATTATCTCCATGTTTTGGGTATTTTTAATTATTATGTAATTACATTATTTATACCAACTGATAATTTGCTTATTTATTACATTTAACATATCACAGGCATTTTCTAAGTGTTAAATAGCCTTCAAAAATATGACATATAGTGGATGCTCTGTATTCCAACATAGGATGGAATTTTTACTATTTTTGGACACATAGGTTGTGTCTAACTTTTTTTTTTTTTTTTGAGACAGTCTTGCTCTGTCACCCAGGCTGGAGTGCAGTGATGTGATCTCCACTCACTGCAACCTCCACCTCCTGGGTTCAAGCAATTCTTCTGTGTCAGCCTCCCAAGTAGCTGAAATTACAGGCATGCACCACGGTGCCTGGCTAATTTTTTTGTTTTTAGTAGAGATGGAGTTTCACCATGTTGGCTAGGCTGGTCTCGAACTACTGACCTCAATTGATCCACCTGTCTGGGCCTCCCAAAGTGCTGGGATTACAGGCATGAGCCACCACGCCCAGCCGCATCTAACTTTTTATTTTTGTCTACATTACTCCAAAGAACATCTCTGTAAACAATTTTTCATATACATCTTTGCTTATTTGATAAATTCCTAGAATTACTAAATTAAAGGGGTAAAAAATTTTAAGGTTTCAATGTACATTGTAAAGCGTTTTACCTCTTTTCACTTGGAGCATTCTTATTATAGGGTATTGTTAAAATTTTTAATTGGAGAAAACAGGATTTCCTTGTTTTAATTGGAATTTATGTGATTACTAGGGAGATTGAACAGTTTTTCGTATATGTGTTGCTCATTTACATAATTTTAGAAATTTCTTTGTTTATGTTCTTTGTCTTTATTCCTATCTAGATGCCAAGCCACTGCTTGGTAGTTATTAGCATCTCAATGCCAGTGTGATGTTGTAGTGAGAGCATTTCACTAAAAGGTAGTAGATATAAATAAGTTCTAATTCTCATTCTGACACTATGTATAGAACTTGAAGCTAGTCACTTAACTCGGAGATCTCATTTTCCTCATCTGTAAGATGAAGATGCTTAACTGGAGAGTTTTAAGTTGCTAAACTGCCAATTAATGAGTTTCAAAAATATGTTCAGCTCCTTTCTTTCTGAGGAAAGATTTAGAGGGATAGTTTTCACATGGTCACCTGGCCAAACAACCAAAGGAGATAAGAATCATTTTGATAATGTAATTAAGATTTCATTTAAATCACATGTGGAATTTTTTTGGCGGAGAACTAATTTTAAAAATTTGAGAGTAATTTATTTTATGTGTTTTCCCACTGGCTTTGATTAATCATTGAATTATTCATGTTCTTGAGTATCCACATTGCTCATGAGTTGGCATATACAAGAGGATCTCAGGGCTCCAAAAAGCTAGGGACTGCTAAAATTTCTCAGCCAAGTAATGAGGCCTGCCTATTTTAATTCATTACTGACTCTGCTAATGTACAGGATAGTAATATGATTCAAGAGAGAAGGCGAAGTTTAAGATTTGCCCTAGTCTCTTGTAGGCTCTTTTCTTGTCAGAAAGGATCTATCTCCTGTTAATAAGAACACAAGTTATATGTGACCAAATGAGAGGAAAATATTCCTTAACTCCAAAATCACAGTTGGATTCTATGCCTAATGACTTCCTCACCTTGAGAAGCTATTTTAACACATTCCAGCTGCCAAGGACTACTAGGAAATTAATTGGGTTTCTGAATACTTTCAAGTCTGTGGACTTAAAAGAGTGACCCTACTTCTTAAAATGCACCATGTATAATAAGGCATAACTATAAGTAAGGAAGACACCAGCAGGTCTGGTTACAGGTGTGTGTGTGTGTGTGTGTGTGTGTGTGTGTGTGTGTGTTTATGTAATGCAAGAGATATAGTTTATAAGTACAAATAAGATAGATGACAGATGACAATCTTACTAGTCTGTGTTTCTGTCTTCTCTCTGCTTTTGTGGAAGGTGGTTTCCTCTTCAGCTTTTTAATTGACACATTGATTATCCTTTCATTGTCTCCTGTGTTTGCGGACTTTAGTTGGGCCTTCTGAAAACATGAAAAAGCTGACCACTCACAGTTTGTCTGAAAGAGAAATAATTTGTATATATGTTAACAAACATTATTCGGAAAGTAAAAGATGATTTTCCCAATCCTGTATTTCTATCTCTACTGCAATGTCTTGTGTTACCTTGTTTCAACAGACAAGTGATGAATGATTTCACCTCCTATTTACTCTTTGGGATGGGGAAAAGGGATAATCCCCTGCCTCGCAGATAAGAGAGAAAAGAGCCTCACTTCTTCACAATGCTTTATTCCTGATGCTATACAGAGGACCATTTTGATCTCTGGGTGGTGGACAAGACCTTTGTGTTTTATAGGGGAGCATTAGTTCGGTTTAGGAGCGCATTTGCTGAATTATGAGGCTGTAAAACTTACACTGTGACTAGTGGCAGCTTTGGGTAAATTATGTTGTAGTTTGAAGAAGAATATTTTTCATTTGTTTGCAGTTTCTATAATGTACCTATCATGACATGTCTTCAGCCGCATTTTATTCTGCACAGCACCAGGCATAGTGTGTTGCCAGTGAATGATCAATATATATTTGTGAAGTTAACATAACATGAAGTAAATGAATTAAAGACCCTCCTTTGGGGAAAGGAAGCAGATACCTATCTCTGATGGCATATTTTACATCTAAGATTTAATACACTTGCCATAGATCACACATGACTTTTCTAAAACCCTTTTCATACTCTCAGCTCAGTTAGGGTAGGATTCTGCCTGAATCAAGCAGTTGAGGAACAATTTGAGGCTTGCCCAACCAATGGGAGGGAAGGTCATTTCTTAGAAGGTAAGAGTAGGGTCTCGGAGAATGGAGGAGTGGACAAAATAAGCATCAAACACTTATCTCTTGGTTTGGCAAAATAACTAATGACTAACAAATAAGCCAAAATCTTAGCAATCAAACTGGAAAGGAAATGGAATTTACTGGAAGAACCAAATATATACTGACTTGTTGAAAACATGTTTAATGCTGATCGAAAAGCTCATATCCAATTTATTTGTATCCGATTTACTTTTTTCTTTCGGAAAACGTGTGGCCAGGCATGGTGGCTCACGCCTGTAATTTCAACACTTTGGGAGGGTGAGGCAGGTGGATCACAAGGTCAGGAGTTCAAGACCAGCCTGGGCAAAATGGTGAAATCCCGTCTTTACTAAAAATACAAAAATTAACTGGGCGCAGTGGTGGGCACCTGTAATCCCAGCTACTCAGGAGGCTGAGGCAGGAAAATCACTTGAACTCGGAGGCAAAGTTTGCAGTGAGCCGAGATTGCACCACTGCACTCCAGCCTGGGCAACAGAGTGAGACTCCATCTCAAAAAAGAAAAAAAAATTGTGTATATGATGCTATTTTACCCCTGAAGTTGATATATTTTCATTTCAGTAATACATATGGAAGTGACTACCTTATAACCAGAAACCTCAATCCCTCCCAGTCCCTACAAAGGCAGGCCTATACGTAACAATATTACCTGAGTCTTCTTAGGGACAATCAGCTGAACACAGCATCTGGCCTGCTTTGCATTTTCCAACCCATATGCTTACCCAGTATGAATGTTGATTAATAACATGCATCTCTAAGATACAAACCTATCAGGTTCACTTTGCATATATAGCCACAAGCCGAGAACCAGCTTATCTGGTTTCCTTATATCAGGGCAGATTGCCTCTCATAAGGGCAAGGTGGTGTCCTTTCCATATGTTTGCCAAAATGCTTATTTAATAGAAACTATTTATAAATGTTCATTATAGCACTTTTTTTCCTTGAAAACCACACGTTCATGTTTGTTGAAGTTTTTTCTTTTCTCTTCTTTTTGACCACAACCGGCTTAACTTACTGGAAAAAAATAATATTCATATTTAAAGAGGTAAATTTTCCAGCTGAAACTGAAAATACTGACTGCTTCATCCGTGATGATCTGAAAAACCAGCATTTCTCACAGCGGCTCATTTTGCTGAGTTAACATTTACATGTGTATGCTGAAAGAAAATTAGGTTCCAAAGAAGTAGAGGGGCCCTGCCAAATGAACTCCCTTGAGACAATATTGCCAGGAATGGTCAGTACCAGTACTCAAAGCACTGAAATTGTACAACTACAATTTCAGTTCTAAAAACAACTGAAATTTTTTTCTGAAAGCCTTTGAATGGCACCTGGACACTGACGCCCATATTGACTGGGCTATGCTTTCTCTCCCACCCTTCCTGTTTACCTGTGTTAATAGACAATGGTGTTTTGTTTTCTTTTGTTCTGCAAGCAGCAGAGATGTGTCTAGCAGTGTGGTCCAGGATAAATAACTGTTGGAATTGGTTTTATATATACATCAAAGTTAGCCTCAAAAGAGGAAAAGAAGCAGAGGGGCTGTCACTGCTAAACTGCCTTAAGGGTATACTGAGAAGGAGAATGAAAAGATTAACCTTGATTTAGGCAGCCTCAGGTGCCCTAAAGGAGTCTACAGGATGCCCAGGCCCATATTTAGCACCATCTGGAAGCATAACCATTACTTTCCTTTGCTATGCCTTGGTGACGGCAGATTCCAAAGGAAAGGCTTTGTTTCCCTCATGCTTTAATATATGAGAACATCAGGAGTTTTCTGCTCCTACGTTAGTTTTGCAGACTAGAAGGAATGGTAGTGAAGTCAGAGCAAGAATTAACAAACCATTCCTTTCTTCAGCTGAAAAACAAGTCAAACGCTGCTTTTGCGAGGAGTCACACTGGCTTTGTTGTTTTGCAATTGAATATTTGAAAATTTTTACCTCCTTTTGCAGAAACAGGATGTCTCACTGTTTTGCCCAGGTTGGTCTCAAACTCCTGACCTCAAGCAATCCTCCAACTTTGGCTTTCCAAATGGATTGCAGGCATTGGGATTACAGGCAAGAGCCACCTCATCCACCTGCGACCTATTTTTTACATTTTTTTTCCTTTAGCAAAGAAAGCCCTGGCCATTCATACTAAGAAGTCTTGCTAATTAGACAAGATTACCTTTGTCCTACACACAAACTAGGTTTATATCAGGGTTTCTCAACAGTGACACTATTGACACTGGGGGCTAGATAATTCTTTGCTGTCAGGGATGTCTTCTGCATTCTAGAATGTTTAGTGCCTGGCTTCTACCTACTAGATACCAGGAGCATCCCCATTTCTACCTCCAAGTGTGATAACCAGAAATTTTTCCAGCCAATGCCAAATGTTTTCTGGGGTACAAAAACTACCACCGGTTGACAAAGTGGTTTTATGATTAGACGGAAAGGAAAAGAAGAAAAAAAAGCTGTCTGGCTAGGCCAATTAGAGATCTTAGATAATTACTATATACATGCAACATTAGATGGTTTTATTTTCATTAAACTTTTTAATTTTTTTAAATCTCTTACAGACCCTGCTTTGATGCTAGCTTGATATAATGCTAACGTGGCCTTGAACTATTTCTTCCTTCCTGAGTTTGCCTACTAGTATAACTTAAAGATCTAAGTTACACTATTACTCATTACATCATAGCTAGAATTGCTTCATCAGATTATCAGGTAAATATAGTATCACTGAGACAAAATTCTCTCATTATGATGTAAGATAAAAAAAAATATTTCATTAACAACACATATAAAGCAAGTACCCTTTGGTTCAACTCAGGTTAGAAAGTGGAATATCTTTTCTATTTCTTATTTTGCAAGTTATAGACTACAGCCAGGAAACTCTGGAAAGGACTCTAACCATAACAGTTAAACAAGTTTCGTGAGATGCTAGAAATGTATGTTTTCGTAATTAGGCACATTGATTAAGAAATATTTTCACTTATTGGAAAAGTCTTTCCAATAAGCTGAATGTGCTACTTTCATTTTAGATGCTGCTTATTAGAAAAGGACCTAGTAAATGAGAGTGGTTAGGTTCAGAGCTAGAGAGTGAATTTTAGAGAAAAGCAATAGTTGTGACTCATTCACTTTCTAAACTTTTACACATAGTCATTTACGATAAGTGTTTTCTTTGCAATGTATCTTCTTAAGTGGTGAGACTTAAGAAGTCAATTACTGGTAGCACTTTTATAGTTATTCTAATTTATGCAATTAAAGGTCTGTGACAATGAAAACATTTCCCCAATTGCATTTATACTTTCAGGGTACCAGACCAGAAGATCAGATCACAGAAGTTCATGGAGAAAAAGACCAGCGGACAGCACTCTTGAGCTATATGCCAGGCCAGTTCTTCCTGGAATTCTAATGGATTTAAATGGCTTAAGAGACGGGATGAATTGTTGAAAATGGTTCTTTCAAAAGACCTCACGGAAGGCCAAAGACAAGATTCACTGAGGCCAAGGTATATGTGAATTATATTCCAAAGGATGGCTTTGCTTTGATTTCCACACCACCATTTCTCCATGCTGTCCCTGTAATCTAATTCTTTCTTTTTTTATCTTGTTATTAAAAGGTTAATTCCGCTTCCTATGGTATGTATCTATGTTTCTTAAGTAGGATAACAAAGAAGGCTTAAGAGCTTTTCTGCCCAAGGCCTCTTAAAAAGTAACTAGCTGTGCATTGTTCAGAAACTGATTATAGATTTCTAGTTTTGTTATTCTGTCTCAGCAATACTACTAAGGAGTACTCTTAAAGATTCTTGAAGATAAATATAGTTTATGAAAAATATAATATTGCATTTTATTAGCTGGTTTTTGGTAAATCAGTGAATAAACAAAATATAAATAAATATTTTATCAATTATTAGACTGCTAAATTCATTAAAATTCAGTATGCTCCTATATAATCATGCTAATGCCTTTCATATTGGATTTACAAGCATGTCAAATGTATTTTCAGAAATAAATTCAACTAGTCTTACCTCTACATCTTCTGGAGCTGGCAGAAATTCGGGGTCCTAGAGCAAAAGAAAAGTTATTCTGAGTTATTTTTATAAGTCAAAACCTCCTTTTATATTAATTGAAAAGTATGATTTCAATTTTTTGGTGACAAATATGGTCTTACCAAGTCATTCACATAACTTTTCAGCTGATCAACAATATCTATAAGTTGACGCATTCTAATCATGTGGCGATCTTGACCTTGGGAACTTGATTTATGGACCAATGTACCCAAGAAGATGACTATCAGACAGATGACTATCCTTTCCATGTTGCCAGGACTGGATCTCATAAGTACCATTAGTAGAGCAAGACCTTGGTCTCGTTTTCACTTCAGCTTGAATGAGAACAGATTGCCAGTTAAGCTACCTATTTATTCATCCTTCAGGGAGAGGTAAAGCCCTCCCATTGCAGCCTGGAAATCTTCGTAAAATGGATGAATGTGAGTAACTCTTTTTTCTTTTCCACTGGCTAGGTATACGTGTGCATGTGCTAATGTGTGGGGGCAGGGATTGATGGAGTCAACGAAATGTGCCCTATCTGCACCTTTGACAGGAAAAAGAGAGAATGGGTGAATTCCAATTTTCAGCATGAATTAAAAAGTATGTATAGGTACTATAAGACTTCAAAAAAGTAAACAAAAACACTTTGATTTCTTTTTCTCAACCTCCCCTGGCATCTTACCTGTTCTCTCTGATAGTCATAAGGGCACTTTGATAATGAGTAAAGGCAACATGTACTTTCATGCAGGACTTTTTCTTATGGTAATAATTATGTCTTTTGACTAAAATCATCCAGTATTCCATCATAAAAGTAGGAGGAGAGGCTATCTTTTAGGAAATTTTAAATAAAGAGGTATTTTCCAAATTTGCAAGAATATTTTAGGTTAAGTTTCAAGAGTTTAAAATAGAATTTGCTTCCAACTGTTCACCAAAGCATCTTTAACTAAACATTTATTTTGGCTTCTGACATGTTACTTAACAATCTGATTTATTAATATTATAATTGACTCTAAGGGACTCTATAGAAATTCTGTCCTTCTCAAACAAGATCTCACTCTACCATTATCTAAAAAATTATCTAATATCCATCTCTTCTATATAATACATCAATTAAATGAGTGAAACTTACTAATGCTCAATCTTGTCCAAACCAAAAATATTTCCAATCAGCAAAATAAAATATACCCATAAATGATTCATTTTCTCTTATGGTAGTATTACTTTGTTCTGTTAGATACTGTTTCCTCTGGGTGTGAGCAACATATTTCTAACTGCATCTGTGACCGGGTAGAGGTTAATTAAAGACCTAAAATCCAGAAATGGTTTTATCATCCTTTCTTCTGCTTCTCTTGTCCCTGCGACTCTAACCCATTTGAGAAAGTTGAATATAATATTCTAGCTAGAAAGTCATGTACCATAATTAGTTAGGTCATATAAATAAAACTCTTGACTATGGATTTTATTTATTCATTCATTTATTTCATTACATACTTTAGAATACCATACTTTATTCTAGACTGTTATGTAGCCAAGAAAAATTGGAGTTTTGACTTGATTTGCTCTGTAGTTGACTAATCTTTTTATTATAGAATGTCTATTCAAGAGTATACAGGTTTTGCCTTACATAGTAGGCAAGAGTTCATACAATATGATCAAGAATTCCTCCATGTAATAGTTATATTCTATAGGACAGGGTTCTGCACAAACTTATGAATGCATGTGGACAAAGGGTTGCACTTGGTGCCTCCACATTGCCTGTATGGTCTTTGTACATGCTCTCCTAATCCACCTGAACAGATATGCATCTCCTTGAATACACTTACAGTGGTTAGGAGGTCATTTTCTAAAGCTTGAGGTCAAATCCAGGTTCTACCAATTAATAGCACATATGATCCTGTGTGTGTAATTGCAAAAGGAAGATAAGTACAGAATCTAATCATAAGGTTGTGATGAGATTAGATGAGACAAAAAGGCTAAGTATAGCATGTGATAACATCCCAGGAGGTTCGCATGCTAATCATGGATGAGGATGAAGGGGAAAACTTAAAGAAGCATAGGGAGGCTAAACTGATCAGAGAAGGAACAGAATGGACAGGTCAGTGTTCAGCCAGAATACATGGTTGTAGTTGTACTGGTGGTTTAAAAAAGAAAAAAAGCCAAAGATCTTTTGTATTGCCTGGAGAGAACCATTGCTTCTGGCCCTGGAGTGACTCACCACTATGTTAGACATCCCAGTCCCTCCCTGAGACATCCCAACCCTCTCCATAATCCATCTACGAGTGCATCAGGGGTTTCAGAGTCTTGCTCCAGCACTATGACCAGAAGCCTTTCTGAAAGTTGGAATTTCTACCTTAAATGGCACATTAGTTTTTAAGCATTTTGGATATCATCTCTGGTGTGACAGATTTACTAATGCCCCAAAGATATCCATGCCCTAATCCCTGGAACCTGTGAAAATGTTACCTTACATGACAAAGGGGACTTTGCTGATGTGAATAAATTAAAGATTTTGAGATGGGAAGATTATTCTGGATTATCCTGTGGGCCCAATGCAATCACAGGAGCCTTTATAACAGGAAGACAGGAGGGTCAAAGTAAAAGAAGGAGCTGTGATGTCAGAGGTGGAAGTTGGAGTGATGTGGGGCCAGAAGCCAAGGAATACAGGTGGCTTCTAGAGTCTGGGAAAAGTAAGAAACAGATTCTTCCATGGAGCCTTCGAAAAGAATGCAGCCCTGCCAACACCTTGACTTTAGTCCCATAACGCTCATTTTGAGTTATTACTTCTGACCTTCAGAAATGTAAGGTAATAAATGCATGCTGTTTTGTCCTTACTTGAAAAGACGCCCATCTCTTTGAAGTGTTTATGGTAATTTGTTACAGCAGCAGTAGGAAAGTAACATACATAGGTATGGGATTCTTAATCTTGGGGGGAAAAAGTAGGAAAAGTGGGAAAGAGAGGAAAGGGTGATAAGAAAAAAAGATCCAGCAAAGGTTGGAATTTGGTTGGGCTTTGGGGAGGTGCAGGTAGAGGATATAAAGAAGTATGGACAAAGGAGGGAAGTATGATTAGTGTAGCTGCCACATGGTATGGACTTCAGGGATAAAAAACCTATAGTGAGGATGTTCCAGAAAGTCTGGTGTGTGTTGTAAAAGCTCCTTCCTAGCCCTGAGAAAACTTCACTCAGGATTGACAGCATGGTTCAAAGTTATGGATCCCAATTTGCATTTCATTTGAATTCATCACTGTGTGGAGATGAACCTTAGGGTGGGAGCAAGGAGGCCCAAAAGTATTTGAGCCACTAGGCAAAGTAAATTATTCACTGCTCAGAAATATTAACGTTATTGCTACCTTTACAGCATCATATCATTGGGGTTTGAAGGGCTGCTTACTCTTTAAATTATAATTATTTTTATAATCTGAGTACAATCACTCCTGCTATAAGGCTCATTTTGAAAATGATAATATATTCCAATGGGATTAATATATCAATGAACAATTTGAATATAACAAGAACTTTGTGTTTCCTTATGTTTAATTTTATCCGCAAGAAATGCTAGATGAATAAAGAAAACTGCATCCAACTGAACTGAGCCATGTAGGAATACATAAGATGTCGTCATACCTCCAACAGTCACCAACATCCTCAGTTCACGCATGTATAATGAGCCACACCCATCTACATCTGGCGTCACAATTTTCCATCCCAGAGAACTCTCCTTCGCCACGTCTCAGGAACTCACAAACTGTAACCCTCCCAACACCCAACTCCATGAACAAACTTCAAGTCTTTTTCTAGGTAAAACAATGTATTTATTCTAGCATTTGTGTATTTCTTAACCATTTAACATGTCTAAAGCAGCTGTCTTTTTAAATTAGGTTGCTATCTTCTTTTTTAGTGTCACTGATGAAGTTTTTGAGTGCTGTGCTCCTAATCTCATTTTCCTGTAAGCGTGTGGTTTTTGAGTTTATGATTTTGTATAGTGCAGTGATTTTTGAAACGTGTGTCACATTATGGCAGAATTCTCTGTCTTTTGTCTCAAAATGTCACACTTAAGCCCCAACAGTGACTACTTTTATCCAGGCAAAAAAACACGACTAAAATATAGAATTTATTCTTAAGGTAGGAAATAAAAGGGAGAGAAAGAGAAAGGGAAGAGGAAGGGAGAGACAATTAAAAAGAATTTGTCATTTCTACGCATGGCCCATCTGAGGTACTTAAACACCCCGGTGTCCATTTCTTCCTTGGTCCTTTCCTGTTAACACATGGGGGCTTAGCTTGGCATCTGTGGATTTCCCGGGTTCCATACATGTGCTTCAGAGATTCCCTAACCTCCTGCAATTACTTGCAAAATTTTGTATTGCTATTGTGAGCAGAAGAAAATCTTAAATCTCATCAGCTTCTCAGTGGAAATGTCATGCAACTGCTGTTTGTTTTCCAGCCCCCAGAGACTTTGGTAAAGGGTTATGCAAACTGTGTTTTTTCAGCATGTGCACACCATCAGGCATAAGTGTGGCAGCTCCAGAATGTCTATAAAGGAGTGGCTGAGAGTCAGCAGCTTGGCTGGAAGCCACACTTGAATAGCAAGCAAACCGCTTTTACTTACCTTCCAGGTCTATTTGGTACCTTGGAATAGAGTGATGAGTTTTACTAGATATATGCTTTCCAGGAATATAATCAAGGTCGTCACTGTGAAAGTATAAAACTTTCGTCATTTACCCAAGGGGATTCATGGACACATTTTAAGAATTTTCTTTAATGGACTGTGTTTATAGAACACCTTGTCAGGGCAGAAATGAGGCCAGGGAACTAATGAGGTGGAAGTCTGAAGAGGAAGGGTTTTGCATGGGAAAACTGTGCCAGGTCTAAAACTGAGCTGAACACCCCCAACTCCCTGGCCCGTCCTCATGGTTCTTCCTGTGATCCCTGCGGGGTGAATAACCCTTTTCTGTTTTCACTGGCTTTTGCCCCTCATGGGTAGAATTAGATGTTCTGCATGGCAAACTGTGGGAAGAGAGGCCTCCAGTGTTTAGAGTAATATTAAGTTATTATCATGTGTACCACTACTTTTAATGCATATTAAAGGTACTCAGACAGGTGGCTTGTCTCTGGGCTGGTATGAGCTTTACATCGGTCTCTGTCAAACTAGAAGAAAAATGTCACTAAAATAATTCAAGACAATTTTTGTACTTTCCAACAATGTTCAGGTAACAGCTGATAATAATTTGTTTGACTTGATGGAGAAAATTTGAACGAGGAAAATCCTCAAGGACTTGCCAAAATCCCTTCTGTAAAATCTTCCTTAAGGAAGTTTAAACACTCCTACTCTCTCTTCTCCCATTCTTTTGAACTCACTGCATGTATTGATATCGCTGACTTAATTTCTTTTCTAGAACATATGTGAAAGTAAGAGTGTGTATATGTAACCCATTATGTACATAACAAAAAAAAATCCTTCTGATATTCAAATTTCATGACTCCAGATCACTACTGTGCATTCTAAGAAGGCCAGGGACTCATGGAGACCAAAGGATCAGTCCTGGTCATTTTTGAGAAAAACAAGAGAAAAACAAGAGCCATCTCGGGCCCCACATTCTCTAGCTCTTGATTGGTATCACTGGCAGCCCTACCATCTGGTGGTCAGTGTGTTGCAGCAGAGGGTCACTCACTGATGCTGCTTATCAACAGCACCTTTTCTGTGGGGAGTGCAGTCCTCTATTCTGCTAGTAGACTCAGGTGGGTCGAAGACTGGGTTCGTGAAGGACAGATCTCTTTGCTAACATTCACACAAAGTCATTGTTTGGAAGCACAGTCCTGCTTCTGAAGTGCTGGGTCCAGAGGAGTTCTAGCAATAGCCACATGGGTCTTCTCCTCAGGTCTTGGCTCCAACATGGATACCCAGCAGGGAGGCTAGAGATCAGATGTCCTTCATTCCATGACCGCCAGGCCTAGAAGATAGAGACAGAGCATTGGAACATCTGCACTCTTCAACCTGGGTCCACAGGTGAGACAAGTTTCATCAGCCTCTCCAGCTTCCTTTTTTTCACTCAACCTATGTCAGGGACAGCAGTTCATACAGGATTCACACAGGGATATTTCACTAGATTAATATTGGGGAGATCCAGTCTTATACCACACTCGGGGGTGGGGAGGACAAGCGACCACAGAATCCTGAAATGGCTTCTGAGCCATCAGAAGTCAATGTGCTCACTACAGTTTCAGTGTTGAATGTTTTATTTTACTTCAATTCTTTAAATATGGTTTCTCCACATACAGTGTGCATGGTAGTTCTAAAAACAAGAATAAATAATTAACAAAGGAAACACAGACTCTGTGAGATTTGCCCACTGGGCTCCAAGACTGCCCTGAAATCACCCTTTAAACAGAGAGATAGTTATACCCGATAGACTCTTTTGCTGCTAATAATGGGAAATGGGATTCCTCTTTCTGAGAAAAGACTTTTGGCCAATCAAAAAGATAATATTAATAAATATTCTAGCAAACACTTTTGTACCTAAGTGCTTTATAGATATAGTCTCATTTAAAGCAACAACCATGAGAAATAGATATTATGATTATGCCTCTTTACTACCGAAGCACAAAGACGATAAGGAAGACATTGAAGTGATTGGAAGAACTACCTCCAGAGCCTGACGACTTCTCTCTATAGCAGGAAACTGCCTCCATTGCTGATGTTGTTGATGTTGATGTTCTGTTTCATTGCTGATGAAACAGAACAGCCCGTGTGGTTAGTTAATGAGATTCCATAATGGGACTGGACCTCAATGAAGATGTTCCTGACGTGGTTTGGGGTAAAAAGGGGAGTCTGTTTGCAGAATTATTGTTGATAATATCTAGAATTTAAATGTAATCTTTTCTGGGTTAATTAAATAAAATAATCAGCTTCTCATCTGGGCCAGAATATCCAATTGCTTCTCTTTCATTGACTTTAACTGGTGACAACCTGGTCCAGTGTAAGACCTAATAATAATTTTCTAGTGTTTTATATCCATAAAGGAAGAGATAAAGAAATGAATAAACTTCTGCAGTCATTTGGGTCTTGAATAGCATAGACAAAAGCAATCAGGAAATCAGTTATCTTGACAGGAAAGGGCAAAAATATGACTTAGTTATTTACATTTTTAAATCAATTATTATTCATTTTCCATGTTTTTCAAGCCTTTTCACAGTTATGAGAATATCGCAACACTCACTGTTTGCTCCACTTAACTCTCAGAACTTTAAAATACACACCAAGGGGGAAATCAGTACAAAAGAAGAAGGAAAAATGAGGAATACAAAAGAAACATGCTTATAACAAGCATCAACTAAAAGTAAATTTTCATGAAATTAAGAGATAAATGATTCAATGATTTTGGATATTGGCAGTTAAGTCATCACAGGTCAGATTAGCGTATTTAGCCAAAGCTGTTCATCATCAGTATCTGCATCAACCAGAAGCTTTAATGACATGACAGGGATGAAGAACTCTCTGGCCCTTGAGTTGATTTATCCAGCTCTCAGAACCACTGCTCTGGTCATTGCTACTGTGTTCAGATAACTATTTTTAATGGCGTTGGTGTTCAGGTCAACATTTAGAAATGTTTACATTTAGGTCTTAGAAATGTCAGGATTACAGAGGCTGAGGAAGGTCAATGGTAATCATTAAGAATGATGACTGCAGGCTGGGCGAAATGGCTCACACCTGTAATCCTAGCACTTTGGGAGGCCGAGGCAGGCGGATCACCTGAGGTCAGGAGTTCGAGACCAGCCTGACCAACATGGAGAAATCCTGTCTCTCCTAAGAAAAATAATAATAATAATACAAAAATAGCTGGACGTGGTGATGCGTGCCTATAATCCCAGCTACTTAGCTACTCAGGAGGCTGAGGCAGGAGAATCACTTGAATCCAGGAGGCGGAGGTTGCAGTGAGCTGAGATCATGCCACTGCCCTCCAGCCTGGACAACAAGAGCAAAACTCCTCTGTCTCAAAAAACAACAACAACAAAAAAAGAATGATGACTGCTAGCAGACCACCATCCAAGGGAGCCACAGACCTGGCAAAGTTCTGCTTTTCCGCCTCCCTCTCCCTTTGTCTTCCTCCTGCTTCCTCTCTGGGTCTCTCACCTTTTCTTCCTTCCTCTTTTGTTTCTCATTCCTCCCAGATTTCTTCTCCTCTTCTCTTTCCTTCACTTTTTTTCTTCCACTTTGTTTCTATTCAAATCTGCATACCAGGAAACTAAAACATATTTTAATTGTAATTATTTTATTAAATAAAGCTTTCTAGCCTCTAAATAGTTGTTTAAAGTAAAACGAATTGGATACTATAATCTCTCTAAGCACTAGAAAGAGGCTCTTTCAAATGACTTTTGGTATTTGATCTTTGGGTTCTATTTTTCCTCCATTGAATCAATGATCAAAGGAGGAAAAACAAATAACATCTTCTAATTTATTATGTCAGAAAAAACTGTAAAGAGACAATATCTGCTTAGTAACCAGGGGAAAGATAATTTGAGAATATCCTGCTTACTTTCTGAATCTCTAAGGAGCAATTTTATTTCAGAAAATATTATCTTACCTGTTGTCAGTTGTTCTCTGTGTCAAAGCTCTCTGAGTTGCCACAACCATGGGCTTCTGTGGAAACTGCCTTGTTAGCTCCTATTGCACATAACGCATACCAAGCCTGAGTTATTCACATATATACAAATCCAGCAGACACCATCAGAGAAGAAACACCTTATACAGTTTTGTGTGGGATCCTTTATAAAGAATTTCTACTTTCATTTATCTGCTAAGTTTTATGTGAAGAATCCAGAAAAAGAAGTTTTTGTAATAGGCTTATATTTCCCATAAGCTCATAATTGATACACAAAAATAGTTAAATTGGGCTGGGCACAGTGGCTGACACCTGTAATCCCAGCACTTTGGGAGCCCGAGGCAGGTAGATCCACCTGAGGTCGGGAGTTCGAGACCACCCTGACCAACATGGAGAAACCCTGTCTCTACTAAAAATACAAAATTAACAGGGTGTGGTGGCACATGCCTGTAATCCCAGCTACTTGGGAGGCTGAGGCAGGAGAATCGCTTGAACTCGGGAGGCGGTAGTTGCAGTGAGCCGAGAT